TCAATTTCTTTTTATCTGAATTATTATAATCCCCCCACCCCCCAATTTCTGGATTTATGAATCAAAGTTTCTAATCTTCGTACCTAAAAACAGAATATAATATCCCACATTCAACTCTGAAACTTTAGAGGCATTTTTTATTTTCTAAAACACCCAGCTTAGTTTCCTAAAACATTCAATTTACTTTCCCAGCAGCTCTTTTTATTTAGGCTAAATCAGTGATATTCACATTTTTTACTGGCAGAAATCGATTGGCATATTGATTTGTCTTCCAAGAAGCAGAACTCCTGCAAAGTGAATAAAAGTCCATTGAAAAAAAGAGATCAGAATAAAAACTAATAAATCATGTGTGCGTGCATGTGTGTGAAAGGCTATAAGAATATATTGGTGTAACAGTAATAACTAGAGATCTACTACACTGATTTTGGCTTTAAAAATTTCAAGCAGCATATATATGCAAAAACCCCTCCAAGTATTAAAAAGTACACTGCTTGAAGTTTGACTGCAAAACAGCCACAGCCATTTGACACCAAAGCAACAAGCTGAATCTCATATTTCATTTTCCTGCTCTCAAAAGAGATATTTAACAATAGTGAGCTGGACAGTTAGGCTCACTGTTCAGGTAGGAGAGCTGGTGAACAGCAGTGGAAGTTGGAAAGCTGTGCTTGCGTGAATACAGGATTTAGGGATGGATAATGTAGTACAAGGAGGATTGCATGGTATATTAAGGGGCTGAGGAAGACTGTTGTGAGGAGGTTGGAAAGCTTACAGGTTGTGTCACAGGTATATGCTTTTAGGCATTGCTCTGTATGTGTGTGTATCTGAACAGATATGGATACATAGTTTTTTATGTTATGGTAGTCTCAGAATTCAAAATTGCCTCTAAATGCAAGCTTCCACGTCTGGCACTTCCCAAGTTTCCAGGGCAGTAAGTACAATTAGGTCCAGCTCCAAAGGTTGCCAGTCTATTGCCAGGTACTATTCAAAGTGCTGTTTATGACCTATACAGCTAAGGTTCGGGCTATTTGTAAGATCGTATCTCCTGATATGAACCAGCCTGAGCCCTGAGATCTTCAGCAGAGGCCCTTCTCTCAGTCCCACCTCCATCTCAAGCTTGGTTGGTGGGAAAGAGAGAGAACAGGACCTTCTTTCTCGGTGGCTGCCGCATTACTCTGGATCTCCCTTCTTCCCAGGGAATCCTGAATCTTTCTGCTATCCTTCCAGCAGCAGGCAGATCTTTCTTTTCAGGCAAGCTTTTAAAGAAGAACGTTTTTAAGGCTATGTTGAAAGTGTTGTGTGCTGTTTTTATGTATTTTAATTGTTTTAATAGTTTTAATTGTTGGTTATCAATACTTCTCACATTTAATCCTATTTTAAATGTTGGCATGTGTTATTGATGTTATTGTAAGTTGCTTTGGGTCTCCTTTGGCAGAGAAAAAGTGGGGTATTAATGACGCAGTAGTAGCAGAAGCGGGGGGGGGGGGGGAAGCAGAAGAGAAAGAAGAGGGATCACTGGGACTTACTCCCAATAAAGTATGCACAGGTTTGCAATCCAAGGAAACATAGGCCACATGTACATCAGTCACTTAATCTGAATCACCTAAACCAGATGAACTGAAACTGAGTGAACTGAATGACCTAAAATAGGCTCTACAGGCTAATCATGGCTATTCTACAACAGACATCAGAAGAGCAGCTAGGCCAGTGGTTCTCAACCTGGGGTCCCCAGATGTTTTTGGCCTTCAACACCCAGAAATCCTAACAGCTGGTAAACTGGCTGGGATTTCTGGGAGTTGTAATTTCTGGGGACCCCAGGTTGAGAACCACTGTGCTAGACCAAGAACAAGCCACAGGAATAAAGCTAAAGAGACACCTAGAGCTAAGTGTTCTTACCATACATCAAGGGTACCACTGATGGTATAGAGAAACTGATGAAGAAGCACAACCTACAATCTTCAGTCCCAATAAGAAAATTCAACAAATGCTCTGTTCAGCAAAGGATAAGAGGGATCTTCTAACCCAGTGGTTCCCAATCTTTTTTGACCAGGGACCACTTTGACCAAGAACCACTCTTCAACATTAGTATCAAAAGGGTTACAAACCAATTTTTTGTCAACTTTAGATTCAGTTTGGTGATTTGGGGTGCTGATTCAGAATTCTGCATTGGATAGACCACGTCAGCTCTAGTTTCTGATTCAGAACATACGCTATCTGCTAGCGAAGAGCCGTAGACCTTATTTTACGTGTCCCACAGATATACTGTGCAGCTGTGGACAAGTCTACATAGAGAACACCAAAGCAGTGTCCAGTCACAAATCAAGGAACACAAAAAGCACTATATACTAATTCAGCCAGAAAAATCAGCAATAGCAGAACACTTGATAAAACAAGCTGAGCGCAGAATATTATTTGAGAACACAAAAATTCTGGGTCACCTTGACAACCACTATGTCAGACTACACAGAGAAGCCACTGAAATCCACAAACATATGAACAATTTCAACATAAAGGAAGAAATCTCGAAAATGACTGAATCAAGGCAGTGACTAATGAACACTACCCAGACACAGGAGGTCTCCGGGCAGTAAGCAATCAAGTGTTTATCCAGACAAAAGATGCTCCTAGGGAGCAAACAATTCAAACGGAACAAAGGCCAGGCTACTTCTATGCAGATGCCCTCACTAATTGACTATGCTATCTTCATGGTTACTCACATGCTAATGAGTGAATGCCACTCAACACACACAAATCAAGCTTGCTAATTGCACCCCTTTACATTAGTTTAACAGACAGTGGTTCTTTCTCCCACCCTGGAGATTCAACAGGTATACTGTATATACATGAGAATAAGCCTAGTTTTTCAGCCCTTTTATAACCCACTGATGCCTCAATTAATGTAATTATATTGGTATCTATTTTTATTTTTGCTGCATTTTCCACCCTCGGCTTATACTCCCATCAATATGTTTCCCAGGGTTTTTTTGTGGTAAAATTAGGTGCCTTGGCTTATATTTGGGTTGGATTATACTTGAATATATATGGTAGATACTCCACTTGCTTTACTACCATCAGAGTAAAATGACAGCCACAGATGCAGGCGAAATGTCAGAAGAAAATGGGTTGCTATAAGTTTTCTGGGCTGTATGGCCATGTCCAGAAGCATTCCCTCCTGTATGGTCATGTTCTAGAAGCATTTGCCCACATCAGGAAAAAATGCTGCCAGAACTTGGGCATACAGCCTGGAAGCTAAACTTCCCTACTTAATCTGTGATCAATCCAGAGCATTATGCTCGAGACTGGCCTCACATCAACAGTGATGATGACCACAAGCACCAGGGTGAATTCTCTTTGGTGCACATAGTCTTCAGCTAGGCTGAGACGGCATCAGTCTTCCTGAGCCGTTCCCTTGGTCTGGACATTGTGGTTACATATGCTAGGGTTGTAATGGGGTGCCCATGCAAACAATAAGAGGAGATAGCACACAGCCTCCTCCTTGCTGACCATGAGGGCATCCCATTCTGACCTCTGCAGACACAACTGCAGCGGTCAGGCTCTTGCAGGGAGTCTTGTGATTAGTGAGGAACAACAGCACTGACACCGGGATGACCCATTCCTTCCCTGTGCTGAACAGTGCAGGGGATGGGTTATAGTGGTGCTGTACATTGGGGTAATTGATTAGGCTGAAATGGACCCTGATGACTGGAAAGTATCCTCTGACTTTGCTTAACACAAAGTCATGTTAAGGGATGGAAACGCCAGATATTTAACAGAAGCTGCTTTACATTGTGAAGGATGCCAGTATTGGGGTGAGTATGCATTTTTCCCAAATAGATACAGCATTAGATGGAATTACAGGGGAAAAAACCCAAACAAAAACAAATTGACCTGCTTTGCTAGATTAGTTCTAAACTTCAGCTTCTCAGATGTACCACAGCAATGTTTCTCATTTTCAGGCTGCCAGCACTGGCTGTAATATGGGCTTTACATTAGAAATTAATGAGAAACTTAAGTCCTTTAATTTTATACAAGCCACGATTTTGATTAAACATCATTGGGTATTTACTCATTCCAAACTAGGCCATGCACAAATTGTGAGCTGCAATCCCGCATTTTCCCTACTCTGTCTTACAGTTGCACATTGCAGATGAAGACTGACAGCAGTAGATACTCTTTTTCACCAGTTTGCTGATATTTTCTCAGTCAGGGATTCCTGATAAAACTCATTAGAATCTCTGAGGTTTCCTGGAACATGGTTTGGAGGGTACCAACCTAAATGCTGATCAAAAAGGGGGAACGCACACCTCATAGAAGAGAACCAGTTCTTCATGCCTGTGGTATTCCTCAGCTGCATTCCAACATTAACATGTCTCTATATTTTTATTATATGTCTTACAACATGGGAGTAAACATCAGTGAACTAGTGGGTCTTAAAAAGTAAAGGTAAAGGTTTCCCCTTGACACTAAATCTAGTTGAGTCCAACTCTAGGAGGTGGTGCTCATCTCCATTTCTAAGCCGAAGAGCCAGTGCTATCCGTAGATGCCTCCTAGGTCATGTGGCAGGCATGACTGCATGGAGCGCAGTTACCTTTCCGCCACAGCGGTACCTATTGATCTACTCACATTTGCATGTTTTTGAACTGCTAGGTTGGCAGAAGCTGGGGCTAACAACGAGGGCTCACCCCACTCTGCAAATTCAAACTTCCAAACTTTCGGACAGCAAGTTCCACAGCTCAGCAGTTTAACCCACTGTGCCACTAAGGCCCTTTATCTCTTACATCTGTATAAACATTCACAAGACAATTAAATTCAATTGGTTGACCTCAGCAGATGCTTCAACCATAAAGCAAAGAGTTTGCCCTCATTTGAGACTATGCCACACGATACCACATGAATGCAACTCTTGCTGTAAAATGACTGTGTAAGTTATTTGTGTAAGGTTATATTCTTATACTAATCCCAGAATCAAAACAATACTTTAAAATCTGAAAAGTCCTACTCACTGTGTCTGTTGTAGTTTTCAGGAACATTAGGATTTCTTGATAAAATAAGTTTGCATGTCAACTCAAGTTTTCCAGTCCTGTTGATGCAAATCAGGATTTTGCGTTAGTACAGTACCTGTTTAGAAAATGTTCTTACACCTCTGAATAGCTTCCCCCATTCTGGTTCCCTCCAGATATGTTAGCATTACATCTCCCAGTACTCAATATTTTTAAACCACCTTGAATCCCAATTTTGGGATTCTGATCACCAACACCATCATCATCCCCAGTCCACATAGTAGCAAAATATGCAAAATATGCTGAGTGGAGATTACAGAAGCTGCAGTCAATCAATCAATCAATGATTTATTACGGTCTTTGACCAGCACAGAAGCTGCAGTCTAACATGTAGTGGACATCATTTTTCAGTATGCTTTATACCGCAACGTTCTCAGTGAATCATAGGAGGAGACCTTTTTATTATGGATCACTGGTGATTCACTACTTGACAGGGACTGGAAATAAGGAATTTATTTTTCCCATTCTTAAGACACTGCTTCTCTATTCTCAAGAGAAAAGGGGAAACTGGTAGGAAATCAATGCTTGGGAAATGCATTTAAAGCAATGAAGCAAGTTGCTCCTGTCTTGTGGCTGCTAGTCTATCACTAAATTCAAGAGGGTACAACAGGCTCCAGCATTTCTTTGTTGTATGTTCAGATCCAACAACTTGTGGTTCTATCATTCTTGCCTTGAGGAAGTGAGTTGGCCTGGATGGCCTTAAGGCAGCATTTCTCAACCTGGGGGTCGGGACCCCTGGGGGAGTTGTGAGGGAGTGTCGGAAGGATCGCCAAAGACCACTGGAAAACACAGTATTTTCTGTTGGTCATGGGGGTTCTGTGTAGGAAGTTTGACCCAATTCTATCATTGGTAGGGTTCAGAATGTTCTTTGATTGTAGGTGAACTATAAATCCAAGTAACAACTCCCAAATGTCAAGGACTATTTTCCCAGACTCCACAAGTGTTCACACTTGGGCATATTGTGTGTCCGTGCCAAGTTTGGTCCAGAGCTCTCATTATTTGAACCCACACTGCTCTCTGGATGTAGGTGAACTACAACTCCAAAAACTCAAGGTCGGTGCCCACCAAACCCTTCCAGTATTTTCTGTTGGTCATGGGAGTTCTGTGTGCCAAGTTTGGTTCAATTCCATCGTTGTTCTTTGATTGCAGGTTAACTATAAATCCCAGCAACTACAACTCCCAAATGGCAAATCCACTTTTTTGTGATGGTCACTCCTTGGGTTAGTTTGTGTCTTGTGGCTAGATTTGGTGGACATTTGTCCAGCAGATTTTGAGTTATGTCACTCAAAACGAACAGAGCGCATATACACACACACATAAGAGAGAATGAATAACTTTTAAGGCTGTTACATATAACACAATTAAAAAAATTGAAAATATTCAGAACATGGATTTACCTCCCTAGTTTAGTGTACAGGGACCACATGACAAGACACTCATGATAGTAGCGATATGCCTAGCATCAAAGGAGTACATTTAGTTACTACAGAATGCAAGGAGGATGTTATCGCACTCCTGACTGGCTATTGGGCTTTTCTTTGACATCTGATTGTCAACTTCCAGAAGAGAATGCGGAATTAGCTAAGCTTTAGGTCTGATTCAGCACACCTGTATTCATACAATGAACAGAGCAGTGGTTCTCAACCTGTGGGTCCCCAGATGTTTTGGCCTTCAACTCCCATAAATCCTAACAGCTGGTAATTGACTGGGATTTCTGGGAGTTGTAGGCCAAAACACCTGGGGACCCACAGGTTGAGAACCATTGGAACAGAGCAACTGGCCTCCGAAAAAGAGGCAGGCCCAAAAACAGATGGAAGATTCTCCCCCCATCCCAATTGCCAGTGCCCTGACCTTGGAAGAATAAGCACAGCTCCATCATGTCTTGGCCCAGAAGCAGATGAAAGCCCTTCACATTTGCTGGGATAAAGCGCCATATACATATATTTATGTATGTAAATAAATAATAATTGCAATAATAGGTATTCCTTTTTTCTTTCTGAGATGCTTTACAACTTCTAATTTGAAAAGATTATGAAAACTGAAATGAATGGTGTAACGTGCCTTATCCTTCTTGAAAGGTTGGAGGGATACAAACCATTCCATCAGTCTATGGCAGTGGTTCCCAACTTATTTTTACCAGTGACCATTCTCCAACATTAGTATCAAAAGGGTTATGAATCGATTTTTTGTCAACTTTAGATTTGATTTGGTTATTTGGAGTGCTGATTCAGAAAACTGCACTGGATGGACCACATCATCTCTAGTTTCTGATACAGAACACATGCCATTCAGTAGTTGCCATCTGCTTGCCCACCGAAAACCATATTTAATAATCTAGATGGGGTCTATCCAATGCTAATTTCTGAATCAGCACCCAAAATAACCCCAGGAACAGGCCTAAAAACGAAGACAACAAGGTGCCTCCACCACTTCCAGGCGCTACATGGAATGGCTCCGCTCAGGGGGAGGGCGGAGAACAAGCAGCAGTCAGGAAGTTTGTTGCCGCACCATTCGTGGGAAGTCAGCCTCTCCGCTCCTGACATCCCCATTGCCTCAGCATTATAAGAGGGTTTCGTGAGACCAGTCGCTCTCATTGCAACGGTGTAATGAAGCTGTGGACCATATTTTAGTTCTTGGGGACCACTGGTGGTCCATGGACCACAGGCTGGGAACCACTGCTCTACACGGATGGGGTGGCAGTCTGAAGGCCGCATTAAATAGTGGCTAACATGCAGAGTATGGTTTTACCTCCCTGGTTTTTGTTAGACTCCAAGTCCTCCCTCAAGCTTCCACTCAGTCTTCCAAGTACAAAGAGGGGAAGAAATCCCCCAGAAGTTGCCCTGAGATGCTACCTGGAACTATTAGCTCTTTGTATTTGCTGAGCTTAGAGACACAGGTCTGACGTTAAAGTGAAAAACCATGAATAAAGAAATTGCTTATTTTACCTGAGAAAATTTCTAGGTATTTCTAGGCATTCCAGCACGACTGTATGTTCAACTTTTGCTGGAAACTGACCACAGATTAGCACTACAGAACCTAGATATTCCTAGAGAGACACTAGCTGTTCTCTAGGTTACACAGCATAACCCTCCACATTTGCTGGGATTAAGGGCACAGAGAGGCCTCTGTCGCAACTACCACTGTCATGGTCTGGGGAGAAGAGGCAGACTCAGTTCCATTATAAATGGGCCAAGACGCATATGAAAGACTATTCCACTACTCCAATTGCCACTGCCCTGGCCTCAAAGAAAGAAAGGAAGAGGCAGTTATCTGTTGGACTTAATCCCCTCCCACACTGTCATCCCTTTTTCTTTTTGTGGCATATTCTAATTAGATAATAAGCTTAAGGCAGGGAACTGTTTTGTTACCATTTTACATGTAAAGCACCATGTACACAATGAGGGTGCTATATAAATAATAATTTGGTGATGCTAAGTATTGTCTTTTTCCTTTCTAAGGTTTGAATTTGAGGAAGTGAGGAAAGCTGAAATAATGAACGTTGTTAGAAAATCAACAAATGGGGGAAATGTCCTATCCTTATGAAAAGGTTGGAGGAAAGCAAACTATTCCATCACGCTTTGGCAGGCATGGGCAAACTTCGGGCCTTCAGGTATCTCGAACTTCAACAATTCCCAGCAACTGGTAGACTGTTAGGAATTGTGGGAGCTGAAGTCCAAAACATCTGAAGGGCCGAAGTTTGCCTATGCTTGCTCTATGGGGATGGGGTGGCAGACTGCAAGCCATGTGTGGCCTCTTTTCTTGGCCTCCAAGTCCTCCCAGGTGTTTTGGCCTACAACTCCCAGAAATCCCAACTAGTTTACCAGCTGTTAGCATTTCTGAGAGTTGAAGGCCAAAACATCTGGGGACCCACAGGTTGAGAACCACTGATCCAGAGTATGCGCCCAAATGCTACCTGAAACAGTTAGCACTCCACAACTCCCCTGTGAAAGTTAAACGCTATGAATAAAGTAACTGCTATTTTTTAATTGGGAGTAAAACTCTTTAGGAGTTTCTAGATATTCCAACACAACTTTCTGGTCAACTTCTGCTGGAAGCACACCACATATTTGAGAGGTAATTCCTCTAAAAATCTTTAGGTCCACCACAGGGTCATACCAGAAAACCTTGAGCTTCCTAAAGGGAACATTTTTAATTAAATCAGTGTATAAACAAGTCCACAAAAGTCAAAACCATACATTGAGGGGAACAGTATACATCTAAATACATGTTCCCAGCATAATTAAGCTGAAAAAAATCCCTGATCGGTTTTCCATTGAAAATCCCGCAGTGCGTCCCATTATGGGGTGCCCACTTCTGTTCTACACCTTGCTCATTTCTTGCCTGTGTAAACTGTGCATCTGAATGCCAAACTTTACCACTGCTAACTTTTGGCAGCTACAGCTGTTTCCATTCCTCTGTCATATGTTATTCTCTGCTTACTCATCTCTCCTCTTCCCTTTCAGTTCTTGCTGAGGGCTTGTACACAGATCTGTCAAAAAGAAGCAACCTCAGATAGACAAGATTATTTGCTGTTGATTGCCAGTGGAGAAAAGTCATCTTGCTGCCTACAGCTGTTTACTAAAAAGCAACAAATGTTAACCACAGCTGCCAATATCAGCCCATAAATATCAAAGAGAGAAATTATCAACACCAAAAGTTTCATAAGAGAAAACCGCTCAGATTTGTTTCAGCAGGTAGTATTTTGACTGAGCATAAAACACTTCCTATCCACCTCAATGGGTAAGAAATCAGTACAGACAGGCCTCAAGTTGCAAACATCCGAATTACAAATGGCTCACAGTTAAGAGCAGGGTGAGACAACAGGAAGAGAGAGAAATCTACCCCCTCGGGAAGGGAATTCACTCCTGAATGAATTATCATGGAGAAAAGGTGTTTCCACTGAAGCTTCATCGCCAATCTTGTTTCCTCAACAAGCCAAATTTTTCAAAATCCAATTATCAAAGGAAGAGAAAGTGAGGTGAACAAGGGCATGGATAGCAATAAATAAATAAAACATAGGGGAGTTAACCCTTTCCTATGCTATCCAAAGAAAGTATACTCCCCTATGAACCATCAAAATCTTCTGGAGGGGCCCTGCTTTCAGTCCCGTCACTTTCGCAATTGCGTCTGGTGGGAGCGAGAGACAGGGCCTTTTCGGTGGTGGCCCCCCGGCAATGGAACTCCCTCCCGAAATAGATCAGATCTGCCCCCTCCCTCCTGACATGTTCAGGTAGCTAGTGAAATCCTGGCTTTGGAACAAGGCATTCCCAGAATAATGGCTGAGACCAGCAATTGACCAAAGTTATCAACCACATATGCGGACTGAGTTGGACATGATTTTATCTTGGCAAATTGATTTATATGTATTTATTTTATATGTTTTAATCTCATTGTTGATGTATGATGTTTAGACAGTATTGTTAGCATTGAATCTTTGCTGTTAGCCGGTCTGAGTCCCTCTACAGAGGTAGAGAAGATTGGGATACAAAAGTTTCAAATACGAGAGTGGGTCAAAAAGTAATGCCTCCATCGCTCTAACGTTTATTTCTTACAGAGTTACTGGACTATCTATGCATGATATGATAGAGGTAGTAACCTTATTCTCCTGATAATACTCTTTTCTTTTTCAGATTAACTGATTAGAACCATTAATCTGAAGCTGAAAGAAAGAGTTGTCATTGAATATCTGGCAAAAGTAAGTTGTGCATCTAAGGAAATCCAGCATCGCTTGAAGAATGTTGATGATTTGGCCCCTTCTGACTTTTACCTGTTTGGATCTCTGAAAGACAACCCACGTGGTTTCATATTCAATGACTTGAACAATGTTAAAAAACAGATATAAAATCATGGGTCGTGAAGCAAAATCCTGAATTTTTCCAAAATGGTTTTGATGCCTTGGTTAAACGGTGGTGCAAATGTGTACAAATTGATGGTGGCACCTATGTTGAACAGTAGTGTTGTGTAGAGGACAGTTCAGGCTATGATCTGTAGCGACTTCTGCTGTTATAGGTTCATTCATAACGTTTTTATGATACAGGAAGCAAAACTTTTTGACCCACCCTCTCATATATATATATATATATACACACACACATACATACACACAGAGAGAGAGAGAGAGAGAGAGAGAGAGAGAGCGTGCGTACTGGAGTTACACTTTAAAATGTACCTGTTCTGACTTACATACAAATTCAACTTAAGAACAAACCTACAGAACCTATCTTGTTTGTAATTAGATATTGGGGCCTAGCTCCACAGGCAGAAAGGAACAGCAACATATGTTTTCTTTGTTTCAAATATCCACAATCAATACTCATGTGTATGCATTGCAAATGCAGTGATGGTAAAGGAAAGGAGGAGACAAGAATGACATCCAATACGCCATTAGAATGAGGCCTTTGACATTTGTTCTGTTCCCGCTTACAGCCTCCTTTCTTTCCTCTTACCATGAATCGGTTTCAAAGAAGGCAAAATAGAAACTCTAGGTCACTGTAAAATTAAAACTTGGCCAGGCTGCTTAATGGATAAACAGGGCAGCTATCCTTGGGAAAGCATATAATCCTGGTTTCACCTTAACAAGCATTACAGGGCATAGAAGAGGAAAAGGAAATCAATGCTGACTAGCTTCCCTAGAGATGATCTGAAATAATATCTGCAGAGCCACCATTTTTATTCTGCTTCAGGAAATGACTGTAAGGATCAATTGGATTGCCTTGTCAGAATAAAGAGGCAGGACAATAGTAATTAACAAGGGTGACACAAATTTCACCTGATTTGGAAGTAATTCCAAATTAAAAGGGGAATAAAGGAGAGGGCTGTGTGGAAGGGTCCTATATGAGTCTGCATTGAGAGATAACTTGGGATAAACAGAAAACTTGGGATCAGATCCTGCGATACAGGGCCTGTCAGGAAGGGCCCTTCCACACACCCTATATCCCAGAATATCAAGGCAGAAAATCCCACAATGTCTGCTTAGAACTAGGCTATCTAAGTCCACACTTGGATTTTGTGGGATTTTCTTCCTTGATATTCTGGGATATAGGGCTGTGTAGAAGGGCCCTGGGTTATATGGCTGTGTGGAAAGGTGTAGCCTTGACTACACCTTAGGTCACAAGAATAGTAGCCCCAGGTTATATTTTTACAAGCAGTAACAAGCCAGAAGGAAGGATTCATTCAAAAAAAGCATCTCTAGTCATGGATAGGATCTTCTCTGCCGGGAAAAACAACTTTTTCTTTTTTTCCCAATTTTCCTTGAAATTGTCAAGGAATGACTGAGGGTCCTTTCAACCCAGAATATTAAGGCAGAAAATCCCACAATATCTGCTTTGAACTGGGATATCTGAGTCCACACTGCCATATATCCCAGTACAAAGGAAATATGGTGGGATTTTCTTCAGCTGTGCGGAAAGGGCCTAACCCTTTTTGGCTTTGAGATGTAGGGCCCTTCCACACAGCCATAAAACCCAGAATATCAAGGCAGAAAATTCCACAATATCAGGTTTTAACTGGGTTATCTTAGGCCCCTTCCACACACCTAAATAAAACCCTACATTATCTGTTTTGAACTGGGATATATGACAGGGTGGATTCAGATAACGCAGTTCAAAGCAGATCTTGTGGGTTTTTCTGCCTTGATATTCTGGGTTCTATGGCTGTGTGGAAGGGCCGTGTGTCCACACTGCCATATAGTCCAGTTCAAAGCAGAAAATGTGGGATTTTATTCAGCTGTGTGGAAGGGGCCTTAGAGCCTTAGCAGCAATAAGCAACATTTTTAATAATAAGTCAAGATGAGGGGAAAAATCCTTTGCAAAAAAAAAGGTGGGGGAGAAAGATTGGGGCCTTTAACTCAAATCACCCCTTTTACAATGAAAGCTGGGAAGTGACAGCACAAAGGGAAGGAAAAGAGGAGGGACAAGGAGGAGGGAAACCTGGAGCAGAAGGAAGCAGCAGCAGCAAAGAAGCAAGGGGGCGTTTACTCGTCCCTGTTTAATACAATACCATCATGCATTTTTAAATAAACACCCCCCAAAAGAACAGAAAAAACCACAAGTTGCCAGCAACCTGTTGCTGCGGTTTGTACCAAGAGAGGGGTGGCAGAAGGAGCAGGAGAATGAGTCAAGGGCAAGCATGTCCTTCTCATAAAAATGGCTGAGAAAGGTAGGCTTCCTGCAGTCCTCCTCCTCCTCCCCACTCTCCCCGGGGTGCAGCAATCCCTCTGCAAGGAGGAGGAGGAGGAGGAGGGGGAGGGGGAAACAAAAGCCCTCCCTGCCTGCCTGCCAGGCCTCGAGGCTGGGCCTTCTTCTGCGGCTTCTCCTTCATCCTGAGAGAGAGAGAGAAGGGGGAGAGACTCACCTGGAGGCCCCAAGGCTGGCGACAGGGAAGGAGGGCAAGCTGGGTCCGGCCCAGAGCCTTGTGGCAGCAACGGGGAAGGAAGGCGGGACACGGAGGAAGGAGGGAAGGAAAGAAAGAAAGAGGGAGGGAGGCGCCGCCGCCTCGTTCCTCTCCTTCTTGCCTTTTCCCCTCCCTTCTTCTTCTTCTTTTCGCCCCTCGCGGCCTCTGGACAAAAGCGCGGCTGCTTCTGCTGCGCCTGCCTCGCCAAGTCCCCGCTAGTCCGGTCTGGGCGAAAGGGGCGGGGCTTCCCGTGGCCCGGACCGCCCAATCACGGGCTCAGCATGGGCCATGGGAGGCAAGCCGGCGGGCGCGCGCCTCGCTCCCAAGGGCGCGCGCTGCCACTTTGGAGCTGCTTGCGCGCCCTTCCCTCCCTCCTTCTCGCCCCTTCTACTCTTTGGGGAGCCGCATCTGCTGGCCCCAAGCCCCACCCTGAAAGACAACAAGGGCCCTTCCACACAGCCCTCTATCCCAGAATATCAAGGCAGAAAATCCCATAATATCTGAGTGTGGATTCAGATCACTCTGGGCCCTTCCACACAGCCCTCTATCCCAGAATATCAAGGCAGAAAATCCTACAATATCTGCTTTGCACTGGGGCCTTCCACACAGCCATATAAACCAGAATATCAAGGGAGCCCTCAGTGGCACAGTGGGTTAAACCGCTGGGCTGCTGAATTTGCCTACTGAAAGGTCGCAGGTTTGAATCCGGGGAGCAGCGTGAGCTTCCGCTGTTAGCCCCAGCTTCTGCCAACCTAGTAGCTCGAAAACATGCAAATGTGAGTAGATCAGTAGTAGATCAATAGGTTACTAGAAGGTAACGGTGCTCCATGCAGTCATGTCAGATACATGTTCTTGGAGGTGTTTACAGATAACGCCTGCTCTTCAGCTGAGAAATTGAAATGAGCACCAACCCCAGAGTTAGACACAACTGGACTTAATGTCGAGGTAAAACCTTTACCTTTACTTATCAACACAGAAAACCCTACAATATCTGCTTTGAACTGGGTTATCTGAGTCCACACTGCCATATATTCCAGTTCAAAATAGAAAATGTGGGATTTTATTCAGCTGTGTGGAAAGAGCCTAACCATTTTTTGGCTTCGAGATGTAGGGCCCTGAGTTATCTGAATCCACACTCAGATAATATGGGGTTTTCTGCCTTGATATTCTGGGATATAGGGCTGTGTGGAAGTCCCCATGGCAGCCAGCTATCCAAGGCACCCGCCTTGCTCTTCTACACTGGAGAATGGATGCAGCTCGACATCCCTAAAACTGCTAGGGAATCCTGGGGGTTGTAGTTTGGGCGAGGTACACAAGCTCTCTGGCAGAGAAGGTGAAACGGCACCTCCCAGGATGCCAGAGCATGGAGCCCAGGTTGTCTCAAGCTGCATCCATTCTACAGCAGGCGTGCCCAACCTTCAGCCACAGGCAACACTGTGGATGCAACCCTACAGAAAATTGTAAACATGCAGGAGTTCTCAAACTTGCAAGAAAAGTTTATCATGGAGCTCCAAGAAATGTTTTTATATATGTATATTGAGCCCCCAGTGGTGCAGCAGCTTAAACCGCTGAGCTGCTGAACTTAAGAACAAACCTACGGAACCTGTCTTGTTCATAACTTACGGACTGCCTGTAGTTGTGAATGCCGGAGAGTAAAGAAAGCTGATAGGAAGGAAAGCAATCAATTGGCCACAGGGCAATAGAGAAGAGTTCTACAGATGTTGTGGACTACTAAGAAGAAAAATGGCCCCTAAAGCAAATCTCTCTAAAATGACTATATTAAGACCATCATAGTTTGGCCATATCATGAGAAGACATGACTCACTAGAAAAAACAATACTCTCCCTTATCCAAAAATTCTCTGGCTTAGAAATGTTTCATATTTTGGAATATCTGTATGACTATGTATATAATGTGATACCTTGTCTAATCATAAAATTATTTTTCTTAAGTATCATATGACATCATAAAGTCCTGGTGAAGCATCCCATATTAAGAGGGAAGCATCTGGTGATGCTTTCCCTCCAGTTGGAGGAGGGGCTTCCACAGGAAGCTCCCTTGTGCCTCTGATGGGCAACGAGCCCATCAGTTCTCCAGACAGGGTGGACTAGGATGCTAAAATCACTCCCTCTGATGAGGTGGTTATATACATAAAATTTTTATATACAATATTCATAATATCTTTATGCATGAAGCACAGTTTCTGTATGTTGAACCATCAACATACCATTGGACATGCCAGTGGACCATTTTAGATTTTGGAGTATTTTGGATTTTGAAATTCCAGACAAAGGATGCTCAACCTGTAATGCTTGGTAAGGTAAGGCAGTAGGAAAGGGGGAATACCATATTCAAAATGGAAAGACTAGGATTCCATTGGTGTCCTGAGTCTGCAAGACTTAAGCAGGACTGTTGAGGATGGGGTTGCCATAAGTTAAGCTGACAGCAGCTAACAACAGCTAAGATGTCCCCATAGGTTGTCCCTGTCATTTTTGTTTCTTTCGACCTTCAAACAAATAGAGAAGGACAGTAACAGCTGCAGTGGAAATACACCAGATACTTCAGCATTTCTGTATCAAAAATGCCAAGAGCAAAATGTCCTCTAAAGCTGCAGTCCTATGCACACTTGCCTCCGTCTACTCGATAACTATTCTTTGGTGCGATGTGTCAGTCTCAGCTGAAAGGACAACTTTCCCTTTCCATTGAGATCCAGATCCACACACATTCTTGCTCCCAAGAAGTTGAAGTGGTTATGAAAGTTCTTTGTTAGTCATCCCTAACTACCCCTCAAGACCATGATGCTTGTTTATAAAGCCATTGTCCTCCCAACCCTGTTATTTAGCTGCGAAATGTGGACCATTTACAGACGTCACGCTCAACTCCTGGAACGATTCCATAAGCATTGCCTCTGAAAAATCCGTCAAATTTCTTAGGAAGACAAGCAGAAAATGTCAGCATGCTGAAAGAAGCAAATACCACCGGCACTGAAGCAATGATACTTTGCCATCAACTCCGTTGGACTGGTCATATTATCCGAATGACCGCCCACCATCTCCCAAAGCAGTTACTCTATTCCCAACTGAAGAATGGAAAATGGAAAGTCGGTGGACAGGAAAAGAGATTTAAAGATGGGCTTAAAGCCTTAAACTGTGGCATAGACACCAAGAACTGGGAAATCCTTGCCCTTGAGCATTCTAACTGAAGGTCAGCTGTTACCAATAGTACTGTGGAATTCGAAGAGGCACGAATGGAGGGTGAAAGGATGAAACGCATCAAGAGGAAGGCGTGTCAAGCCAATCCTGACCAGGACTGCCTTCCCCCTCAAAACTGATGTTCTCAATGTGGAAGAATATGTGGGCCAAGAATAGGTCTCCACACTCACCTACGGACCCACAGCCAAGACCCTGTTTGGAAGGCTATCCTACTTGGACACGATGATGATGATGATGATGATGAACTACCCTCCAAAGTTGTTGGACAACACCAATCAGAAAGACCCTTGAGAATGAAAATTTAGGACCCAGGCCAAGAAAACTGTTTTACGCCATCAACCCTATCTTGATTTTCAACGTATTCTCTCAGCCACTTCCATACTTACACTGAAAAGTCATCAGTCATCATAATTTTGGTATTTACTTTAACTTGATAAAAATGTATTTTGTTTCGCTTGATAAAAATATTGCTATCAAGTTGGGTTTTTTTTTTTAAAAGGACCACAGCTACTACAGGCTAAATCAAAGAGAGCTTAGAGATATTTACTGTAGTTATGCATAACCAGTTACTTGTAATTAATTGCTTTTCTTTATAAAATACAATGGGCCCTTGGTATCCTTTAGGGCAGTGGTTCTCAACCTGTGGGTCCCCAGATGTTTTGGTCTTCAGCTCCCAGAAATCCTGACAGCTGGAAAACTAGCTGGGATTTCTGGGAGTTGTAGGCCAAAACACCTGGGGACCCACAGGTTGAGAACCACTGCTTTAGGGTTTGATTCCAAGTCCCCAATAGAGAGATACCAGAATCTATGGATGTTCATGTCCCATATATAGAATGGTGTAGTAAAATGGTGTCACTTATATAAAATACCAAAATCAAGGTTTGCTTTTGTGAATTCAAAAACATTTTTTTTCAAGCCATGCATGTTGCAATCCATGAATGCAGAATCCATAGATCTGGAGGGCTGTCTATATAACTAAGTCATATTAAAATTCTAAATTGATCAAGAATAATTTTACAATCTCTTTTACAATCTAACTAACCTTTAGTAACTGTTATAGTTGTTCAGTATTGGATTCCCTAAACTGAAGGCCAATATCACATGGTTCAAGTATTGATGCCTCATTCTCTGTTCTCGGTGTTGAGATTTGAAAAAAAGAAGACAGAAGGAAAATGTTTTTGTCCTTCAAGCATCTTAAAGATGTAATTACTGTTTTATGTAGTTCTGAGAAATGAAAGAAACAAAAAGTTACTTTCAAAGTGTAACCATTATGTTAACCCACCAGCCCTCTGATTTAGAACTGTATAACTGTAATCTTGCTACTGCGGCAAAAATGAAAAAATTACGCCAAGAAAACTCTGCACTATTTATGATGATGAAGGTCATCCCTAAAGAGATAATCACTGAGATAACAATCCAGTCATGGCTTGAAGCCAAATAAATATATGAAAGTACGGCAAGAGAAATTACTGGCTCATTCAGTCGCTTATCTCAATTCTTTTGAGAAGAAAATGAGGCGAGGAAAACCTATGTCTTAGTGAGGAAATGTGGGGTATAAATGGAGAAATGAAACAGACAACAAGCATTTTAATTACCGGAATATTTCCCTCTCACCATTTGATTGTGGCCTAATGAATATCAAGATTGAAATTAACCAACCTCAAGCTGGTGTGAGCTTGGTAGCAGGTAAAATACGCTAAGACTATACGAAGGTCACCATATGCCTTTCCCAGGCATTATCTCTCAACCTGACTTAAAATACAGAGATCGAGTGGGGGGGTAACAATTATGTTGAGTATCCTGAGCCCCTGAAAGAAAAGGTAGCT